TCTGTGCCTTGGATAGTGTATTTAAGTGGAGCCAGTAATACCTCAAGGTTGTTTTATGGATTAAGCATATCTATATAAAGTCCCAGTCCTTAATCAGTGCTCTGTAAATAGCAGTTTTTCTGGACAGCACAGCCCTCCTACCCCCCAGGTAAGCAGGTCAAGGCCCAGAGCTCATTCTAGGAAGAACGGAGAAACCCTGGACTAGAACAAGAACTGCCATCCTGTGCTCTTTCTGGGGAGCCCTAGCCACACACGCAGCCAGCCCCTCTTCCTTACAGATAATGTATATCTGATACCTGTATTCATTCCAACTCCTTAGAAGCTAAGGTTTCATACCAAAAAGGAAAAGAGCTGAGTTCCCTGACAGCCCCTGACAGAGTGGAGGCTTGTCAGCATGCGTCAGCAACAGGTTCAGACATTTGGAGTACCTGGAAGTTAAAAAGGTGCCCCCGCACATGCACATCTGACAACAGTCTTCCATGCAGCCCAGACCTGACTCCCCTCCTTCTCATGTGGGAACCTAGCGGTGACGTGACTGTGGTGGGTGAGGCAGGGAGAAGTCTTCCTCCTCCTCTCTCTGGCCCTAGCCCCTACATTCACCCCAAATAGTATACCAAAAAGAAATCCTCTCTCTCTGTGTTGTTAGTGAACACTCAGTGCATCCGGAGGGCACATGTGTCCCATGTCCTCAGGGTCCTTGATACCCTGTCCAACCTGGGAACAAAGCTTCCCAAGCTGGGATGAGGAGAGGGGCTCACTGCTGAGCCAGAGGAATGGGCAGACCTGCTCTCTCCCTGCCCCCTTCCTTCTTTTCCCAGCTGTGTCCTCAAATCTTTCCACCTCCCAACCATCTCCCCTCAATCCACTTTCTTCAAGGCCTCTCCTCTTCTTCCTCCTTCTGCCTTTCCCCCCTTACTGCTCTTGTTCTCTGTCTCTCTCTCCTTATCACATTTCCCATCCTTCACCCCACTGCCATGTCTTCTTCCTGGCTCCTTCTCCTGCTCCCCATTTCTTTAATTTTTTTTTTTTTTTTTGATGTTTCATCTCACCCCCACCAAAGAATTTAATGGATATGAAATTATTTTAAACTGACTTTCTTTTTGTAAAATAGCTTGGCGTTAGTGCTGACTCAATATCCTCTCACGTTTTAATATTGAATATGCAATGAACAGGTAGATGTTTAGGTTTGTCTCCTTTTTCCCCCTTTCTACTGCAGGAAAAATAAAAGAGCTGATTAATCTGGTTTGGGGCAAGTGTCAGCAGTAGGAGATATACGGGAGAAAGGAGATGAGGTTAGCAACTTGAAGTCAGAGTGAACTATGGTCTGAGTCAGTATAAGGGAGAAAGGGGCAGGAGTTACGCTCAGCAAGGCCTAGCTGGGCAGAAGCGTTTTCTGACCCCTCACTCTGGGTACCAGAGAAAACCAGCTGAACTTTGACCTGTCCACTCCCCATCTGGCTGCTCCCCTCAGAGGCCTCCTTCAATGGGGCCTCATCCCTGCCACACTTGTTTGTTCCTCAAGTATGGAATCTCCTCTTCCTTCAAGGCAGCTCAGGTGCCACCTAGTCCAAGGCCTCTGCCTGCCCCAACCTCTCTGGAACCAAGGGTGACACCTGTTGTCTGAGCCACCTGCCTCCAGCCAGAGCTAAAACAGTCAGGGCAGGAGTTGTACTCTGTGTCTTGCCAGTGCTCCAAGGACTCTTGAACCTGCCTCCAGAGCTGGCCCCCAGGAGAGGGTCCTCACGCTGCCATGTGCCATCTCCTCCATGCTCTGGAGCCCATGAGCAAGGCTTGGGCAAGGCTGTGCACGGACACTGCCAGGAAATGGGTGTTTGATGATGCGGTGTGATGGATTGCTTTAAATGGCCTTTCTCACCAGGGTCTTGTAACTTCCACAAAATAGGTGGTACCAGGAAAATAAGTTGCTTGTGAAACACTAATGAAGGGACCGATCAATTTTGCCATCCCATTAGGTTTAAAATGAGCCATCCCAAAGGCAGAAAGGGGGGGGACCTCATTACCACCAAGAAAGAAGAGCTATGAGTGGAGAGCATCCTTTGGACAGAAGATCCCTGAGCTGATAACCTCCTAGACCCAGGAGACAGAGAGAGGAAGCTGTAGCACAGAGACAGTGAGAGATGGTGAGAAGCAACTGCAGGGAAATGGCCGCACCAGACGCAGCAGAACCTGGAGACTGGCACGAGATGGTGCACTGGGCTTCCCAGTCCATGGGGTGAGAGAGCTGAGAGACTTTGGACAGGAGGCGTCCAGGTCAAGTGGGTTGTCCCTAGGCACTCACTGACAGAGCTGAAAAGCTTTGTAACATTTGACTGAGCAGGACAGAGACTGGACCAGCCCAATACACCCACAAGGTTGAGGGGCTGAGAGGCCTAGGGAGAAGCCTGCCCATGGGCATGGCCAAGAAGCTGTCCTGATTGAAGAACTATATCTTGAGTGGCTCCTGATCCTGAATTATAACCTGTTACTTCCCTACTAAACCCCATAACTGTGAGTATGGCCTGGGAGTTCTGTGTGGCCATTGCAACGAATTATCAAAGCCAGCAGGGAAACAGAGAGGGCCGTGGGAGCAGGAGTGAATTAATAAGCACGGTAAACTCAGGCTTACTTACTAATCTGTAGTGAACTGTTCACTACAGATTAGTAAATAAGCACAAGTGAGTCTATGTTTACCTTGCTTGTTGAGTACATGGACACTGTGTGGGAGGGAATGACTGGTGAAAGAATTGGTGAAAAGGCCTGTCTGGTCTCTACCTCAAAGCCTTGGGTTATAGACACTGATCTTAATTCTCCTTCCCCCTTGTGAAGGTAGAAGGTCTGATGCCTCCACACCACAAGCCATTTTTACAGAGGAACGTAAAGCTATTCAACTGACAGGGAGGGTCAGGTGTGTGAAACAGACCCAGTTGCTCACTCTTGAATCTTGTTTGCTCTTCAACTGACCGGACTTCAGCTATGGAGGGTCTCGAGATGGGAAGCCACCTCTCTGTATCATGGAGATGTGTCTGCATGATGTCTTTTCAAGCAGCACTCAGGCCCTGGGACTGGGGGTGCTGAGGCCAGTAGGGAGGGGGCCAGAGCCATGGAGGCCGTAGGCCTGGGTCAAGGTCCTGCTATGGCCCAGAGGCGTGAGCTGGAGGGAGGACAAGGGAGGGTCCAGGATGAGCACATTGTCCTTAATTTCCTAGTAAATGTGGGTGTTTTGGGGGTGGGATGAAGGAGAAATTCCTCAGTGCCTGGCTGAGCTGATGGAAGAGTGACCTGTCCAGGCCAGGCAGAGTACATCCAGGGGCAGAGAGTCCAGGGCCTGGGAATGGTTATGGATGTGGGCATCAGAATGTAGGGAGATGGGGTGCCTGGTAGAGGATGTCAAGAGCTCATGGCCCAGAAGCAGAGGGCAGCTGTGACGGCTGTCTTGTTCTGCTTCCCGGGCCTTCATGTTGGACCCACCAAGCCTGCTGGGAGATGGGGAGGCTGAGCGAGTCTGGGAGGCTGTGTTGTGACCTAATATCACCTTCTTAGGTGGGAGAGGCCCCAATGCTACACTCCTCTCTGTGGCCTCCTGAGTAGGTTCTCCTTGATTTCTCTATACCCTTCCTGGGTGGCAGGAAATAGAGAGCCCTCCTTCCCCTCTGCCCTCTGGAGTGTCCTTCTTATGGACTGCTGCTCCGCTCACTGCTTAGTTGAGCCTCTGTAATGGGTGAGTCCTTCGCTGGTGAAGATGACAGAGCCTTTCCTCAGGGGTCCTTGACCTACTTGTTCAGGACCTTGGTTTGGCCACCTGCCCAGGGAAGAGCCCTAGGGCACAGTTTAAGGCTTTGTCCAGGTAGGGCCCCGGAGCAATGAAGCCCAGTGAAGGTAGGGGTAGCTTGTGGTTCACAGAGTCAGAAGCCCTGTCTATGAAGGTGAGGGCCATCTCTGGCAGGAAGGGTCGTGTTCTCTGGACCCCAATTAGGCTGACCAGGGCAGGGACCTGTGAATGGTTCCCACCCTTTGGAGCTGGTGCGTCTCTCTCCTACAGATGAGGTGGAAGAGGGCTCTATAGCATGGGGGCTGGTTAGCTGGGGAAGAATCCAGCATCTTGGTGATGGAAGCTTGACTTTTTATGCTGTTGGGGTTTTTTTGCCTTCACTTCTTTAGTTTTACCACTCTTACCATGGAGTGGTCCTCTAGGTCCTACCTAGAGGAACTGGGGTACGGGCTTTGCTGTGGGTGAGCCCAGGTCACCCCTGGAAGCTAGGGGGTGGAGGTGAGCAGTACAGTAGGAAGGCACTGCATTAGGAAGTGTCACCTGAGGCCAGGGCTGCTCTTGACTCGACACTTACTCTGTCCTTCCAGAGCTGAACCTTCAAGACGAGGCAGTTCCCTAACCAGGCTTCCATGGAGGGACCCAGCCATCTCATGCCTGGTTTCAGCAGGTTCCGTGTTCTGGGGCCAGTATTTGTGGGGTGGGGCCAATCCTCCTACACTGTCCCCTTTTAACCACCTCCTTGTGTACCTGTATCTACTGTCAGGACCCGCCCCTCAGAGGCCAGCCTTGCTGCATGTCCCACTTATGTCCCTATGAGCCATCCTTCCCAGATTTGCCCTGTTCTAGTCTGATATTCCCGGGCAGGGCTGTAACCCAAGCTTCCTACATCCTGGCCTGGCACTTTGGTGATGATGAGGAGGTAGGAGGTGGGGGCACTGTTTTGGAGCAGAAAAGAACCGCAGGACATGCTCCTTGTTCACTCATAGAGAGGCACAAACTCTACCATCCGGTATGCCTAGGCTCCCTGCTTCCCTTCAGTCTCTGCCCACACCATTCACTAGAGCTCTGAAGCCCTGTCCTCAACCTCCCTGCCCCACCAGCCATGAGTTCCCCAGGGGGCAGCAGGAGGAGGCAAGTGGTCGCTGCTGCATCAGGGAGAGAAGGTGGGAGAGGGGAGAGGCAGAGACAAGTGGGCCCTCACGTGAAGGGGGCTGGCGCAGGCAGCTACTACCTCCTCGGCTCTCGCTGTCCGCTGGCTTCACCTGGATCGGCCGGTTCATCTGCAACAGAGCACAGGGGGCAGTGTTAGAGCTGGTCTGGGGAGGCAGGCACCCCATACCCATAAGTATATAAGTGTGGGAGCACACACAGACTACATCCACAGACATTCATACAACGATGCACCTCTCACAGAGGCCCATCCATTCCCTTCATCTGTGTAGTCCCCATGGCCTTGTTATTTCAGGAGCAATTTCTTTGGATTAAGGAGCCTTGGTGGTACAGTGGTTAAAGTGCTTGGCCATTAACCAAAATGTTGGTGGTACAAACCAACTTTTGCAGGAGAAAGATGTGGCAGCCTGCTTCTGTAAAGATTTACTGCCTTGGAAACCCTATAGGGCAGTTCTATTCTGCCCTTTAGGGTCACTATAAGTCAGAATTGACTTGATGGCAGAGAGGTAAGTTTTGTGTTCACCTCCACCTTTAAAGCAGTTCCTGTTAGTCTGTCATATCAGAATCTGGATTTGACAGAAATGCCTATCCATGAGCCTTTATGCTCCCATGGCCTACCTCTGGCCCAACTCTCCTCACTTAAGACAGCAGGTCTTAACTACAGATTGATCCTGCCCAGATCAGGGATTGGTGGTGAGTCCCAGCTTGCAGACATGGGCCATCGGTCTCAGGAGTGGTTGAGGCTCTGGGACCTCTGATTGCAGCCACGGCTGTCACCTGTGGTGGTGTGAAGCTGGGCACAGCCACTTACTCTCTGTGGCACAGCCTGACTCCCCAAGCGGCCAGCCACGGGCCTTTCTGGGTTTGTGGCAATTCCCCATTCAGACCACTAGGGGTCTCTGAACTCCAAGCATCAGGCTCAGCAGCCTGTCTTTGATCCTCCCTGTTGTGGGGAGGCACCAGCATGGGCTTTCCAGCCTGGAGGTCTCAAGATATCTCCAACAGTCCAAATGATAAGAATCATTCAAATGAAATCATATTCATGTCTTCACAAGTGGCTTTGCCTGTCATGTTCATCTTTCACCCCTCATCTCATGTGAATTTCTCTTACAAACACAAACCCTGAGACACAAGCATGACTCGTACTAAAACTCCCATTTTATAGATGGTGGAGCTGAGGCAAAGAGAAGTTCATGTGCTTTCTGAGGCCAAATGGTGGCAGGAATAGTGGGAACTAGGATCTCCTGACTTCCAGGGCTATGTCTGCTTTCCCAGCCGTACTATAGGATTCTGCTGTCAATTCCCCTTAGTATAGGGCTGGACTAGCCAGTCACGAAGTGTCCTCAGGCCTCCAGGTTCAGGATTCAAAGTGAGTTTTGGCTACGTCAACACAACTGGATGGGAGGTGTGAGTATCTGTGACTCAGCAAGGTGAAGGCGCGACCAAGGGAAGGGCAGAGCTATGACAATCAAGGACAGAGGCAGGAGGCAGGACAGGCAGCCAGCGAAAGAGGCACAGGTGGCATAGACAGGACCACTGGGAGGCCAGTCCATTGGGGTGGAGGGTCAGGAGTGACTTTTTGCCATGAGGTCGCCCTTGGTAGCCCCTCATGGAGTTGAGGGAAAGGTGCTTGGCTATACTTAAGCTCTGCCACCAGAGGAAACTGTTTTCTCAAAGAAACTCCAGGGAGAAGGGTGAAGGATATAATGAAATTCCTGGCTTCATTTAGGGGACCCTGGCCTCTCCACAAACTACCTTCTTTCCAGCCCTTGAGGGAAGGGTCCAGAGGCCACCTAGACATCTAGCCATGGGGCAGATAGCAGAGCAGGGAGGGCTCCAGAGGGAGCCAGGTCACTCTGGGTTTCCTGGGCTTTTTGGGACTGGGCTTCTAATCCTTTTCCAGGCTGTCGCTCCCTTACTCCTAGTCTCCCAAGACACCCGCAATATTCTCCTACTCCAGAAAGACCCCAAAGACTGACCCGGACTCAATTCTGGCCATTGCATTCTCTTGGGCATATTTCTACCTCTTTCTTTGTCATGGAATTATTACAATTCTCAGAAGCAGAGATTATTATCTCTGTCCTGCCAATGAGAAAAACAAAGCCTTGCGGAAGTGGCAGGTCTGGGATTCAGCCAGGATGAGGAGGCGCAGGGCTAGCCATACGGTGGCAGATTTGCCTTCATAGATTTGGACTCATTTGAACCCACTGCTCTGGAAGGAGGAGTCAGGGAGGATGTAAGTGGGGGACAAATCCATTCTAGCAATGGTAGGTGGAGGCCAGGCTCCTTGGGCCCAAAATCAAGTACAACTTCTTCAGTGTGTCCAATCTGGCCCTCCCACCTCTTCCACTGCTCCCTCCCCATGTCCCTGTACCTGTCCACTCCCTCTGCCGGCAATCTCCTCTCCTGTACCCTCACCAGCTTCCTTCCCTTGACCTTCTATTCTTCTTTTAGGATGGGTTCATGAAGTCTTCCTGGTGCCCAGTAAGAATGGGCCTTAGGGACTTCTCCCTTGTCTGTCAGGTACCATGAGGAAACACATTCAAAGCTGAGAACTGACTTTCAAGGGGGACTTGGGCAGTCCAGGCTCTTCAAAGGGCACACAACAACCTTGAGAGCAGTTGCCATGTACGTTATATGGCTGGATGATCATAACTTCTTCTGTGATATGTATGAATAGGTTATTATCTTTAACTTCAGCTAAAGAAATGGAGTTTCAGAGAGATTAAGATACTAGGTGCCGGTCATACAGGTGATAAATAGCAGTGTCAAGACTGGAACCCAGGTCTCTTGATGCCTGCCTGCATGTTTGGAGATGCTGAGAACCAGGCAAGATGGGCTTGGGGAGTGGTTGAGGAAGCCCAAAGAACAGGTTGGGGGGTGCTGAGGAGTAGGTGGAGGATTCAGTCTGCTTCAATGAGGAGGAGGAGGTTGAGGGTCTCGCAGAGAAGGGGCAGGCAGAGGTATGTGAACAGACCTAGCTGGGCTCTGTGGCTCTGTCCTAGGAACAAACTAAGGGAATGTGTGTGGAGACAAGGGATGGAGCTAGGCCTTAAAGGAGGCCCGGGTAGACCCCCTCATTCTTAGGGACCACTGGGAGAGGTCTTCCCCCCAGTATCCCCCTGGCATCTTGTTTCTGTGTGCCATGACCTGTCTTTTCTACACTGGTCTTGAGCAATTCGTGTGACGAGGACTGGCAGGGGCTGGGATAGAGCTCTTTCTGGTATGATGGATCCCATTTTCCAGGTGGGTAAGGTAGGTAAATGAAAGCACCCTGAGCATGGAACCTTCCACCTCAGTGGGCACCCTTCCCTCAGGGAGCAAGCCACTGTCCCATGTCCTTGACTCTAAGCACTTGTGACTGGCTTAGACTTGACGTGCTCCCTCTGGTCCATGGCAGTGTGTAGCTCTTTGTGCCATGGTGGGGGGCTTGCTCCAACTTGACTGGGGGTCCATGAAGGCAGGGGTCATGTGCTCTCAGCCACCCTAGGCAGTGCGCCCACATGGTGCTCCAGACAGGCTAGAGGAGCAAAACTGAATTGGTTCAGTGGACCCATGGCTCCTAGGGAGGTTTCTCATGTCCCATATGATCTGGGGGTGGTCAGCATCCAGACAGTTTCTGCAGGGCTGTCAGAGAGGAGCCAGGCTCAATGGAGAGATGAGCATGGCCTGTGCTTTCTCCACTCATCTGACTTGAGTGTCAGGAGGGCTGCTCAGCCGCAGTGGCTCTGTATGGGGCTGGGCCTGAATGGAGGTCGCCCTCCCTCATTAGAGGGTCTCCCTTCTTGTTTCAGGGCTCTAAGCCCTGGCCAGCCTCCTAAATCCTGGTTTTGCCTTGAGGAAGGAGAAGTGGGCAGTGAACCAGCCTGTCTGGGGGATGAGGCCGAGGCAGGCTAGAGAGAAGGGAGAGGAAGGATCTGGAGATGGCCGGTGAGAGAGACAGCAAGAAGTGGGAAGAGGAACCGGCAGAGAGGAGCATGGCGGAGGGAGGGAAGAGGCAAGGAGAATGCAGAGAGGGGGACCAGGGAAATCTGGAGGATGAGCCAGGAAGGAGAACGGATGGAAAGCGGGAAGGGGCAACTGCCAACTTCTTGCTCTCCTCAGGAAGCCTTGGCTACATGGGTCCCAGGGTGCTCCTCATAGTGACCACCATGCATTCAAGGAATTAGAGTCCACTTCTTGGTGGTTTTTCTTTCCCCTGGGCCTTGTCCCTCTGTCTAGCCATCTGTCTCTGCCAGTTTGTTACCCTTGGGGACTCTGGGGCTGTGCCTGGAGGGAATGTGGGCTATGGTATGGCCACCCTCTTGTGATTTTCTTTCTGAGGTATCATCAACGTTCCCATAGAGGGCCCTGTGGCCTTCAGTCCCAGGTTCTGCCTTCCAGCACCTGAAGGGGGGCTTGTAGAGCCAGGTTTCCTTTCCTGCATCAGGGACAGCTTCTTGAAGGATGTCACTAACTCTGTGGATTGTGTTTCTGCTTTTAGCTGGGGCCTCTCTCAGGGAGAGCAAGTGGTCCCTGACCCAGGACTTGGTGCTGTCTGGGCCCCTTCTCTGCTTCCCTCTGCAGCTGAGGGTGGGTAAACGGGCAGGCTCCTTCCTCAGCCCCTTCGGCTTTGGCTTTGCCTTCCCACCCCCTCCCCATGCTGCTGCCACTTTTTGCATCAACACATATCCATGCATTAAACAAGACATTCCATTAATTTCTTCATCATCATAACTTAAGCTGGGACATACCCTTTAAATATTCATTCAGCTATGAAAACTGGGCATTAAAATTTTAATAATGTCAAGCTCATTTGAACCAGGCTCCTTGGGGACAATTACGATACAATTAGAATAAATACGATGATTGAGCTGGTCGAAAGGCTTCACCTGTCCAGCGTGGCTCCCTGTGGAAGGAGAAGCTTGTGGCTGGCGGGCAGACAGATAGACAGGCCAGCTGGATCTTTCTTTGCCCTACCTCCACTCCCCCTCCCCCACCTCCTCTGCTCCAGGCTGGCAGCAGCCTGTGCAAAGCCCCCCACACCTCTCACAGGTCTCTGCAGGTCAGTGCTGCCTCAGTGGGCTAGGGGGCAGGAGTGCCTGCCTCCCACCCAGAAAAATGGCCCTGA